GTATTGATTTAAAGCATATGTAGATATAATTTCCGTACGATATACGCATAAATTGTCAACTTTTGAGAGTAATTTTGAGGGTTTTCAATTAAAGAGATTCGGGCATTAATGATTGATTAACGACGTTGTTAACAGCGTGTCGCAGTTTCAGATTTTTCGCGCATTTTCGTTTACTTTATGCATTTATAATTTTCGGCAATTTTGTTGTCATTTCTTGTTGCTGTTGGTTTGGTTGCTTTTGTTGGTGTTGTTGTTGTTGTTGCTTAACTGATGCAAAGTTCGAACTGGCGCAAAGTTTTTAATGAGCAGCGACGACAGTGGACGTCAGCAGAGCAGTCAACGGCGCTGTCGACGCCAACTGCGCTGCTGTTTAGCTTGTTAGCAAGTTGCGAATAAAAGTCTCGCTTAAATTGTTGCTAAGATGCAAAGCAAGCGGATAAGAACATTTCGCAAAGTGGAAAATACGCAAAATCCAAACTGCGAAATGCTGCGAAAATGAACAAAAAGCTAAGGATACAAAAATACAAAATAATAATAAAAAATAAAATAAAAGCAAGCAACAACAAAATTGGCAAACAGAAATGCTCCAAAGTTTTTGGCGCATTGTTTTCACAGTTAAATTTTCCATGTAATTGTGCCTGGCGCTGAGACCAGGTTGAGTTGCTTTGACCTTGCCCGCCTCAGCATCGATTTCTTGCATATTCATCTCAGACACTGTGGAGTGGTGGGAATAAGCTTTATATAAGTTTATTGATGTTTTTCGTTTGCCAGCTATATTTAGGTTTATTTACTCTCGTTTATTTCTTATTAGTTTTTTAGTCTTATGACAATCAATCATAGTCTTATGGCTTACATTTGATTGAGGTGTGACAGGAATAATGTCAAGTAACCGCAGCAAGTAATTGTATAGGTGAGTAGGAGGATAAGTTAAATATGCTTGACTAAGAGATACCCTGCACTTAGCGTGGAGCTGGTGCTAATTCGTGTTGGTAAAGGGAAACTGATGAAGTATCTGGGAAAAAAAATTATAGATCTTACATGTTCAAATATTTGTCCTATGCGGCTAACAGTGTTGGGCAATTCATGT